AAAAAAAAAAAAAAAAAGAGGAGAAAAGTAAGTACAAATAGGCCTCGGATCATAACCATTCATTCAGTGATGGTTCAAAGTTACAATGTCACTGAACAAGGGGGATTTAAGAATAGTCTTTAGAGTTCTGACTGTCACAGCATCTCAGAGTTATGTGTTCATGCTAGCTTCCCACAACAATGTCAATGGGGAAACCAGCACGAAGTTAGAAACTATTGATTTTTTGGCCTGCCTACATTCTGACGCATCTGCTTGTAGCATTCCTTTTCCCCTTCAAGCGAAGACTCATGTAGAACATGCTGTAGTAATTCAGAGGACAGACAGAGTATGGACTTCTGAGTTACTTAGTCAAACTTATTCTCAAATAAAAGAACAGCAAATTCAGCTATGTGCATACGAAGTATCCTTATACCCACGTATCACAAAACAAATATTTAAGGTATGCATTTTAACTCCAATATTTTAATGACTGTTAAATATTAAAAGCACACTTTTCATATCTGCATGCTTTTCCTTCAAGAGTACATGGGAACATGGAAAGTCACCCATTCTCTAAATATGCTCACCTTAAAATCATTTATTGAGAATATAAGTTCCGGAAACCATGGCATTTGGAAGAAATAGTAGTTGGCAGATTTAATCATCTGTGATGGATGTCGCACAATGTATTCTTAAAAAGAAAACCATGAGTTAAAAATGAGAAACTATGGTCTTTGAGTTATGTTCCGTTATACTAATCTTTTCAAATAAGGTATTCTTAATAGGAGTAGCTCAATTTCGTACAAATTTACCAAGATACAAATCCAATTCTATTCAGTGCATCTTATTATTACTATTATTACTCAATTCTTATGTTAAATATCTTTCTTTTTAGAGAAGCAAAAAGAGCTAAAATGTGTGTGTTTTAATTTAACACAGTGAGATCAGTGGTGGGTTCCTACCGGCGTTCCTACCGGTTCGCTGCGTGAGCATGCACACTTGAAAGAAACTTGCTCGCACATGTTTGCAATTGAAAGAAACTTGTTCGGAAAGCAAGGAAACAGTGGAGGAGTGGCAATTCAATGTGCTGCCCCTGATCATCTGGGCTTCAGAAACTGAAATAAAGGTACACTATATTGCTGAAAGTATTCGCTCACAACTGCTTCTGATTATGTGGATGGGTGAGCGAATACTTTTGGCAATATAGCGTAGGTATGGCAAGTGGGCAGGCCCACTTTCAAAGCAATAGAGAACCAGTTCGCTCTCTGCTTGACAACAGAGCTACCAGTTTGGTAGAACCAGTACGAACCGGTAGAAACCCATCGCTGACTAGATCCTGCACTGGTCTTTTTTTTTTTCTTTTAACGTAATTTTTATTAAGTTTTTTACAAAAACAAAAACCAAATTCAACATCCATTCTTCCCATTCCTAAGAATGTCCACTTTTGTTTAGCATCTTACATACTTTCCATTCATTTTTCATTCGCGATTCCCTCTTTACATTTATAATTCCCATAATCTAATATTTACAAATATCAATATTTTACTTTCATTCATTATTCCTATTCTCTAACCACTGATACCATTTGTCCCATACTGTATAGTGTTCTTTCTCTTCTTTATCTTGCAGTTTGAGTGTTAATTGAACCATTTCCGCGCAGTCCATTATTTTTTTTAATTATGTTTTTGGAGGGTATGCCATCTATTTTCCAATTTCGGGCATATGCTATTCTTGTTGTTGTCAGAATATGAATTATGATATAATTGATTTCCTTTGTAAACATTCCTCTAATTATCCCTAGCAAAAAATCTCTTTTTTAAGGAACTGATAATGAAGATAAAGATGATGAGGAAATAAGAATCAAAAAGGGGTTGAGAGAAAAATATAAATTCTTAATCTGGATAAATAATAGTTAAATAATCCTATTTAACTATTCTCGACTGCTGCTCAAATACCTCTTCCATAGGGAAGCATTAGGAATTTTTTTTCTGGAATATTTTACCTTACATTCCTAAGTAGTATATGGACCATTTTTGCATTCAATGTTTCTTTTGCAGACTTTATGCATTATATCAAAACTTGGTCCTGTTCTATTCAGTTTTCAAAGTTATACTGCTGATGGATAGGTGGACAGTATTCCCAAGTGTCTTTCCATAATTTATTTTCAACATTATGATGAGTTGGAAGAAATAATAGATTGCAATTATATTTGGGGAAATTTTGCTATTTGAGAGATAGGGAGGGGTGTGACATGCCACATCCCTCAGCAACTAAGTTCCATAGCTGTGTTCTATAGATGTTCCTATGAATTGAAAAAAATAGCTAATAGGTCCACAATTTAAACCAGATTTCTCTGGGAGACACTTTCAGATCCATGAACTTGGACGCAAGAATTTTCCAATCAGTGTCACCATTCCTAAGAATTTTGGAACTGAGCACTATTGACAGGCATCAAGGTTAGGAAACATAGTTTATAACATCTAACTGATAGAAGAAGCAGAAAAAAGTCAAAACAATGGAGCCATGTAAATAGTTAGGTTTAACTGCCTGTCTCTGGATATTTTTATATTATACATACTCCCACATTTGCTTATTTTCAATATTACTGCCTCCTTTTTTCCCTAGAACAACAACTATCTGGAAGAACCCAAAGTTGGTAATAGGATTCACAGGTCTTAAAACAATTTCCCTGATCTGGTACCTTCCAGATGTGTTTGGAGGACAGTCCCCCAAATTCTCCATCAGTATTCTGGGAAGTATAGCCTTGGCACATCTGGGAGGAAGACATCTTTGATACATTTATACTCACACATCCCCCCACCCCACATATAGTTGAACATTTATACCAGAGGTAGTATTCAGCAGGTTCTGACCAGTTCTGGAGGATTTTGCAGTAACCTTCCCCTGGAGTGGGGAGGGAATGGAGATTTTACAGTATCCTTCCCCTGGAGTAGGGTAGAGGGGGAATGGAGATTTTACAGTATCCTTCCCCTGCCATGCCCACCAAGCCACGCTCATCAAGCCATGGCACGCCCACCAAGCCACGGGTATCAGCCACAGAACTGGAACTTAAAAAAAATGAATCCCACCACTGATTTATACATACATACAATTGCAGAACACACAGCTTACTAATCAGGAAAAACATAACTTGGAGAAACCAAAGTACTCTACAGTTCTGTAATTTTTCCAAACAAACAAGATCTTTTGTCAGTTTTTCAACA